CACCTCAGAAAAGCACAAGGAAAGGCGTATGCCATGGGGCATGGAAGAATAAAGTCCTACAGATGCTGCCAGTGTCTGAATTAGGTAGGATTGGTTTCTGTTAGAATACCAGTCTTTCATACAAGATGCTAAGGAACCTGATAACAACAAGTACAGCACAGGTTACAAATCCGCCCTCCACAGGGCTGGCGGGGCAGGTTGCCATTGATGGGAAAAGACCACTTTTTGGCATGAAAGGATTTCAGCCTTTGTGCTCCCGTAGTCCATGGCCTTTCTTCCCATAGTGCCACCTAGTGCCAACTCGCTCAGAGGCTCGCTCTTCTACAAGGGGAACATCTGCCCCATCGGAAACGGGATGGGACCCTCTACGCTTATTTCACCAAAGCCAAACCCCAGCCCTCAGAGGAACAGTATTTACTTCCTTAAGGACAGCTCTTTCCCATTAGCCCGATTCCCCACTCCCGTATTTTAACCTCTTCAAGATACACAGTCTTCACTTTATGTGATAAAAGCTAAACATTTTTCTTCTTGCAAACCTCTGGGATGTGTAGCAACCTGCCCTGTGGTACCAGCAGCCCTAGATGCCCTGGCTATGGATGAAAGAGGTGGCGCGTGTCCCTGGGCCTCCGGTGACCATTTTACAAGACCCATCTGCAAACAGAACTTCCGCCAGCGCCGGATGGTCAAAATGCCGCCGCAGTACACGACGGCACTGAAGGATTACATATAAAAATGTATGAAAACACGAAAGACATAGGCAGTAATCATTCTGAAATGCCAGTTTCCTATTAGAGAAGAATTGGATCAGTGCCGTTAGAACTAAATATTAACTTTCAAGATAAATAATAACCAGCAATATAGGTAACACCAGGAAAGCAAAAACCATCCTGGACAAAAGCCTTCGCCTTTATTCACTCCTCACTGAAAGTTTGGTAAATCTGTGAAAATCTGCTCAAATTAAAGCTGTACAAATATTACAAATACAACTCAAAATTTGGTGCATGATTAAACAGTACTCTTTACCAAGAGAAACCGGGTTTATTGGCATAGGTAGATTATTTAAAATCCAATAAATTTTTCACAGTTGATATAGTTTATTTTCTGAATTTTCTTGGGCCAAACTAACAAAATCAGTGAGTCCGTTTCACTTTGATTTGCCATAATTTTCCTTCTGCAGCACAGTTTGAACTGCAGACTCTACAGAGGAGACAAGTTATTCTTTAAAAACAACTATTTCCAGTGCATTGTTTCATTAAAAAAAAACAAAACACATTTACAAAGGATTTGGATTTTCTAAAAGTTTTGCTTAAAAAAAATCTAAATATCTTGAAGTTAAATGTCAGTGTTTAGTTTTTCATGAACATTTATGAATCTCTTTCAATAGAAGCTCTTCACCAGACGGATCACAGTGTAAAAAGAGTCCTGTAAAAAGAGACAGGAGTAAAACCAACTGAAATCTATAAGGCCACGGCATGCCATCAATCTCTAAACAGAATGCCTATTCCAATCATTCTGCTTAAAAGCTCATATGGTCTGCAAAAATGAACAGGGTTTTCTTGAAATGATTTAAATAACAATTTATCTAAGACTGTAATCTCTCTTGTATGGGATTTGTAAGCCATCCCACAGAATTGTCTAGCAGGGGACACTGTTTCCTATTTACATCAAAGTTTTATATAAATAATATTACTTTTTTTTTTTTTTTTAATTTTCTGCAGCTGTTTTCCCTTATGAATAAGCTGGGCCTATGAAGAAAATGTGAAAATAGGAAAACTGTGAGTAATATTTATAATAATGATATATCCAACTCAGGAAATTGCTACAACTGTCTTTATCAAAATAAACAAGATTGATATTTTTTTCCTCCTTTAAGAGAAAAGAAAAATCCTCTACTATTACCATTAATTTGACTTGGTATTTGTTTGGTATTTGGATTTGACTGTCTTATATCCCATTTTTGGTCCTGTTAAAAACAAAAACAAAACACAACACAAAAACACACACACACAAAAAAGAAAAGCCCAACAGCGTTGCTTTTCGTCTCACAGGAGTGAAAGAAGCATATACGCACGCCATTCAGCCCAAAATTACCCTAGCTACAGGGCATGGCAAAGCATGAAATAACTGCTCCAGAGCACTTCCTCATGTGGGTGTGTTAGATAACTGTCTGCTCCAACGCTAAAATAAAGCACACTGTGACCCAATCAACACGGCGAGCTCTGCTCCGCACAGCTGCCCGGGCTGCGGGCATGGGAGCCCAGAGCACCCCACGCCGCCCCTCACACGCCACCCTGCCAAACTCACTCCTACCCCCCTGGCCAACAGCCTTGACGTGCTCAGGCTTCCAGCTACAGCATCAAATGCTGGATTTAAGTTTACTTAAGCATACTTTACCCTTTGCTGCTGTATCCAGATTGCATATGGACTTTGTGCTATTGAAAGGGCTAAGATTATTATTTTATTTTTTTTTTTTGCTCGAATATACTTAGGGTTCAAAGAAAATTAAATCTTCCTAGTGAAAAAGTTTTTAAGATTAAAAAAATATCTTACCGGGCAATGAAAAAATGTTTCTCCTACTCCAACTCTCTTTCTCTGCTCAAATTCTTCTTGCCTGGGGTTTTCATAAAATCAAGAGGTGTCTGTAGTCATTTTTAAAGTTTTTCAAAAATGTTAAGATGAGGCTGGGCTTCTGCTAAACGTTCACGCAAGAAGCCTGAGGACGGGTCCGTGTGCCTTCCTACAAAAAACCTGAACTGCTGAGGAACGTACACCTGCACTGGTTCAGGAAAAAAAATGACAGGTGCCTGAAAACCCACCCATCCCACGAGGGGGACGGCTGCTAACACTCCAGCTGCATCACTCCAGGCTAACCACCATCCAAAGGCATCAGCAACTCCACCTTTTAGACCCTACATTTTTGGCATAACTTCAGCATCCCCTCTACGCCCAAATCTGAGTTTCAAAGCTTGAGATTCAAACTTTAGGAAGGGAGGAAACACCTTGCTACCGTTAACAGGTCATTTGAAGCAATAAACATATTTAAAGTCTATCAACAAAATAATAATTTAGAAGCTTGAATAAAACGGAGGACAAAAAAAATAGGAAGCAATGAATGTCATTCGTCAGCTAAGCGATGAGCCACCAATTCTTGGCACACTGATACATAAAACCTTGAAAAGTTTTGCTCGGGTTCTGGAAATAAAGCTGCTAATAAAACAGAGCAAGTAGTTTCTGTAGTTGAAGTGCCACTGAATAGATCTGCTGCTCTGGATTTCAATTAAATTAGTTTGTTCAGCAAGGAGGCACTTCTGTTGAAACTGGGGAGTCGTAAGTTAAAGGACAGCTGAAAAAAAGCCCCAAAGAACAGCATAAAAACCTGTTGGCAGCAAAAGTTCTCTCTGGCTGTAAAATAATGGATTTTTAAGAAACATTTCAAAGGATTTGAAGGTTTTGGAGAATCTCCTAGGCAGTCCCAGGTGGGTTGGGAATATGCATTATAGACTTCTTTGTGCTAAGAGAAAGGCCTAATGCATGTTTTTAAGAAGTCCGCCTCTTGCTATTAAATAAATAATTTTCTATTAAAAAAGGTGATTGTTATTGTTGAGAGATCTCCACTGATCAGCGTCCATTTTATATAATTACTTAGGATTCTCCAGAACATTTTATGTAACTCACTTCCACTATCTCTTTTCTTTCTTTTTTTTTTTTTTTGTACCAGCAGAGTAGCAGTTTTACCCTCCAACAGAAATGACAGAAGCTCAGAAAAAAAGACCATTTCAAATGGATCAATTTAAGCAGTCTTTAGAACCCATGATAAATCTGAGCTCCAAAAACTCGACAATGCTAAATGGGCTATGAAATGCATCACAAATCCCTCCCCAGAAAAAAAGAAGAAAAAAAAAAAAGAAAAAAAAAAAGATTAATTCAGAGAGAAGCTTCAATGTTTGAAATTACAAATAAGCAGCATATTTGTGGAATGAAAATTGGTAAATAAATAGTTACTATTTCTGGACAAAATGGCTCGATAGATTTCATAATTTGCCACCACTGTAAAAAATATCTATTCCCTTCCCCCCTCCCTTCCCCGGCAGTACACACGGAAACACAAGCATAACCATGCATAAAGTGGGAGGGTGGGGGGCAGCCAAGGATACAAACTCCCTCTTAGAAAGTTTGAATTCTTATTAACCCAGTGATGCCTCCATAACATTACATTAGATCAGCAACATAAAAGTTGAAACATACATCTCTCTTCTTTCCTAGTAAAGGAAACTGGAAAAATACTAATAATGAAAATTAGACGTTAAAAATATCCAGGAGGAAAAAGTACATGTGCAATAACCAAAATTAACCCCCTCCGCCCCCACACCAAAACAGACAAACAGCAAAATCTCCAAATAAAAATCCTGTCAGGAGGAGGGGAACCTGCTTTCTCTTTTTTTGCTTTTATTTACTGTATGCCAAGCATGGACTTTAAACTTACAGTATGCATATATATAGAAAACAAAGAATGAGAGTCACCGTTAACCCTCGTCACCGGCATTACAGTTAAAAGTCATTGGCAAATACTAATAAAACCCCATTTAGCAGTAAATAAGGAGAACATGATATATGGACGGACAGATGGAACTGCATAAACAGAAAAGAAAAAGCAGAGAGACCCACAAACATACGGAGAGGGCTGTTTTAGAAGAGTGAAAGATACTGATTTACTTGGAACTACTGTTGGAAAACAAACGTATTTGTTTCCTTTGTGATTAAAAAAAAAAGTAATTAAAGTGAATCATAAGGGGGCACACCCTTAAATAAGTAAAAGGGGGGAAAACATTTGTAGAGGGTAAGGCCTCCTATAGATGTTCCGAATTTTAAGCTATCAAATAGGTCTGGCAAACTTACATGGGGGGGGGGGGGAGGGAGGGAGAGAGAATAAAGAAGTGCTGGTGGTTTAAGGAGAGTAGAAGCTTTATTCTTTCATTTTTTATAAAAGTTGACTGGCCTACCTTGTTCCCCAGTCCTCAGTTTGTCTCCTCATAGTCGCTGTCTCCCTGGAAGTACAGTGTGAGTGGTAATGACTGCCTGCCTCCCTAATGAGTCCATTTTCCTGCTCTTGATGTTGTGTATATACACACACTGCAACCTACCTTACAAACCACAGAGACGGGAAAGGGAGAGGGAGCGAGAGAGAGCGAGCGAGAGCGAGCGAGAGTGCGAGAGACAGGGAGAGAGAGAGCCAGCGAGGGAGAGAAAGGCGCACACAGACAAAGCCCTCCTACCAGACAGCAGACAACCCTCCTTCCCCGATCCAGCAAAATACAACTCGGCTAATGCAGCAACAGGTTCAATACTGCCAGGCTGAGGCAGCGCGGAAAAGGTATAGGGGGCTGAGCAGGATTGCTGGCAAATAAACAGTTTCGCGCCGGCTTGGCTCCACCTTTCTTATTTATGTTACAGGATGTTGGAATGCATTGTTTCAGACAGTCCATAGAATTATCATAAATACATTTTTTGTGCATATTAGCATGAAGTGCCGAAACGTATCAGCCATTCTGCTCCGTAACCTTATAGCTTTAACACATGCAGGGAAGGTGTAAACATATCTCTTTTGACAGGCAGACTACACAAAGCCCACTGATGATTTTAAAGTCATGAGATCTTTCAAGAAAAACGCTCCTGAAGATAGGTTTCCCCAGACAATAGGGGAGCAGGGAAAATTGATCATGATGAGGAAGAAGTCTTCGTAAGAGACTGCTCGGTAAACAATTGAAAAGAGGGGGCTATTCTCCCCAGCATTCCCTCCCTTCAAAAATATGTATTGGGAAGCTTCTACCCCTACAGCTATAATAATGTGCTGTGCTTATGTCTGAACAGGTGCAATGCATATAGTACATGGTGTTACAAGGACAGAAATAAATCTCTCAAGTAAAAAAACATTTTCCCAGTTGCAAACAGGCCAAGGTTATTTAAAATATAGGTCTAATTTGAAGAACGTTCCCCACTCCCTATATTTTTTTGCTGGGGGGGGGAGGTAGCTAGAGCGAAGGCGTGAAGGGGAGGCAAAGATGGGAAAATCAATACACATGACTAGTTACTATATTTTTATTTTTACAATATTCTGTCATATCTGAAGAAGATATATGCTGCTTCTAAAATTTTTTTTCACTCAGTCGTGCCTCTCATCACATGTAAACTTAGGCTGTCACAAAAATTCTGTTGATTTTAATAACAACTCTAGGCATGTGAAAGTAGCAAGAGCAGGAAAGCAAGATTTTGCACCTGCATTTCATCTTTGGACAAAGGTTCTCCAAAAACTTTCTCTGCAGGGTATTTTTTAGATGGAGAAAATGGGTCCGAGGGGGAAAAAAAAAAAAAAAAAGGTTAAGTGGGTTAAGTGATATTCCCAAGGTTATGCTATAAATCAGTGGAAAAACAGACGAGACCTCAGATCAAGCTTGACATGGAATTTGCCTGGAGTAACCCATACCCACCTAAAAGTTAAGTGTCCTGGCTAAGCCAGTTTGTGTAGGCTCCCTCTATTGTCAGTGGAGAGACAGGCAACTCCCAAAAGCAATTCATCCCAGCTTTCTCTCTCTCTCTCCACTGAGGAGGGAGCCTACACAACTAGATTAGGCTAGGCAGCTAGCTTGTAGTTGGCTAAAATGAAGTAAAATGAATCTCACTTTTGATCTAAGGCTCTATTACAACATTCTGCTTCCCCAAATACATTTTATTATCGCATTTATTATTAGGCAATATATGCCTAAATTGTAGTGATCGAAAAGGGATAGCCTGCTGACTAAAAGAGATAGGTAAACTCCCTAGATTCATGGATTTGTACCCTGAGGCTGGCTGGATATTCATGATTCACAGTCTTTATAATATTAACCAGCCTGGTGACTGGAGAATTTGATTAGTTTTCTTCACTGGTAGCTGCTACGCTTTTTTTGTATTTCGCTTGTAAACACTCTGTTTTCAGCCAGATGCACAGCAAATACGGAAGGATTAAGTAATTCTTTTCAAAAGGTTAATTTTCATTAGTTTTTTCATCAGAACACAGCCTTTCCTACCCTAGGGTAAACTATAAAGAGTAAAAAGCTCTATTAGGTGACTTAGTTCAACTCATTCTGTACTATTAGCTACACACACACCTGGCATATGTAGAGGCAGCTCTACAAGTTACTCCAAATATATATTGCAAAAATTTAGCCCTACTACATATTTGCTTCTCTGGATGTTATGGACATATCACCTTATTGAAAGGTATATAAGGTCAGGAAAGCAGAAGGAGCATTTGAAGACTTTGCTTCTAACTGCGGTAACTCAACGTAGCCGTGTATGTGCTAATTGATCATGCACCATCTCAGTTTTTCCATCTGTAAAATGGACCCAACTGTAGTTCCATCGTACCATAAATATACGAGATGCTTCATCTTCCTATCTCAGCCCGACATCTCTGAAGAGTTTTATGATGGAGAATATTATGAGAAAAATATAAATACTTTATCAAGGGGACCTATCTACAGGACCTGTATCAGAGCCAGCTGATAAAAAGTTTTTTATATATTTCTATTCAGTTCAAATAATAGGAATAGTCTCTGAATTTAAAATTTAAAAACTATATCTACACCAAAATGAGGATATCAGATGTAAGAAGTTCTGGTACATTTGATCCCAAACTAACATTCATTCCTCAGTCCTAACTACCTTATACATAAAAATCTGAAGAGAGATTCAAAACATACCAAGTTTGGATAAAATACAGATCTTGAACCCTTCAACTTTAACAAACATTCAGATTGAAATCCAAGTCGGAAACACTTAAGTTCAAAAAAATGTTCAGATTTGCAATTGATCCAGATCCAAAAACTCTTTTAAGTTGGGAGGCATCTAGATCCTTACGTCTTGCCACTTTCTAGAAATGTCATACATGTATCTGAACCAGGATCACAGACCAAATATCCTCATATTTTGAGGAATCCTGAATCTCAGCAAGAACACTAGAACTGAGCCTGATTCCATACAGTTATGGAAATGCTTAGAACCAGACCGAAACTGGAACCCAAAGCCACCGCTTCCAAAGTTGCATGGGGTTTGTGTACCTGTAGAACTAAAACAGAACACTTTCAGTCCTTGAGATTGTTTGAAAGCAAATATGAAGTAGATTCTAACTTAAGCTAGTTTTAGCTCTCAATCAGAAATTAATCCAATTAGCCGTTAATCTTTATAAAATCCAAGTATCTGTCTGACCTGAATGAAAAACCCTGCAAGATGTGCTCTGCACAACTTTCTAAATGGATCCAAATCATCAACGGTCTGATTCTCTGTTGTCTTATAAATCCTTAAGTCTACCTAAACCATAGAAAAAAGAGCATTAAAAAAAAAAATCTGAGTGGTGCAGTTGAATGGAGACTCCTGATTTAATGTCTTGCCAACATGAAAATGTTTGCCTATTTGCTTGAATCAAAGAGCTCAATGAGAGCCTGCTCACTGTCACACCATGTTCCTGTGGGCCTGCAACCCCTCCTCTCCATTAAGTGTGCAGGTTGATGGCTATGTACTTGGTGCACTTGCAGGAAGGGGAGATAACATGTAACTGCTGATGGCTTTCAGCTCTGTCATAGGACTGGACACAGACTTGCCATGTGATGGTGAGGGCTGGCATAGAAGTCACATGGCTGGCCTATGCTTGGCCACGCAGCAGAACAGGCAAGCAAAGTCTCATCATCTGCCCGGAAACATACCTGGAGAGGTATGACATGGCAGAGACATCAGATTTTGGTTATGCCACAAACGGGGTCACCCCACAAGAAAGAGCCTGTAACAGAGGATTCCCAGCCATCTTAGTAAAAAGCTGCATTATGCATCCTGAATGCAAGAACAAGCAATGCTGGTCTACCCGGGAGATGATACTCCTGCTTTTCTTCTTCTGTAAATTTATCTTCTCAGTTCAGAGTTAATCTCCAGTAACTGTCATTAGGGAGGCAAAGGACCCCAACCCCTCTAGCAATGCCTTACAAAGAATGAAAAATGACTAGCACCATAATGCAGGTGGAAAATTCTGGTGCAGGAGCAGGGGCACCCATCTACAGTTCTCCCAGGGAGCTGCAGAGCCCTAAGAACACACGGGTCTTCAGTAATAAGGGGCAGATAGGAAAAACCAAACTGTCCACCAGAACTGTGAAAGTGTTTGTTGCAAATGATAAGATTCTGGATAGTGGACTGAAAGGGAAAGAAGGTGCTTCAGTGCCAAACAACATACTCTGTAGTGCTCAGGTCTCTCCTTTTTATGTTGTTAGGCACACCAACAGGCTGAGTTCAGGTGTATCTTGGCTGGATGGGGCTTTGAGCAACCTGGTCTAGTGGGAGGTGTCCCTGCCTATGGCAGGGGGATTGGAACTTGATCTTTAAGGTCCCTTCCAACTCTAACCATTCTATGATTCCATGATCTTGCTGGCAACCACAACTGCAAAAGGAGTCACAGCATCATACAACCATGTCTGAGGCCAAGCGCTACTTCCTTTGAAAAAAAAAAAAAAAAAAAAAAAAAAAAAAAAAAAAAAAAAAAAAAAAAAAAGCCCTCTTAGCAGTAATCTAAGGGCTGATTTTGAAATTCGAAAGAAATTTACATGGAACTGACTCCATGAACTGGTTGCATATTCTGCCTATCCTTGTGGAGGGTTAGCACACTGGTTTTGAGGGACTGCACATATGTGCCCTACGACAGTTCCATCAATCCCTTCAGGGAGCTCCACTTTACTAGAATCCCAGGAATTGTTCTTAGAAACAAGGCTGGTTTAACACCATACTGGTGGTAAAAATCCCAGGCAAATTTCTGTCACAATTCTCTTTCAGATGGTATAGGCAGGACCTAAAAACACTCACAGCAACATGTCTGAACTTGATTGCTTCCACTTAGTCCCCTTCACTACTTAGACAGATCGCCTAGACTCCCCTGGTATATCACACCATCATGTTGCCAGCCCAATAGGATTGGTGATTCAGATGTCTCTACTGGTGTCCTGCAGTGTCTCTGCAACTTTGTTCAAATGTAATGAGAAAGATGCCAATTAAAAAAGCACAAGAGTCCTGCAGCGTGGCAGGCTGATTCAAATTAGATACCTGTATGAAGTGATTAAAAATAGGTTTTCTAAACCTGAAGATAACAGGAGG